TTTTTAATTTTCACTGATTATAATCGCGATTGGTATCAAAAGTTTTTGATATCACTTATCGATGTAGTATAAAATATCAATATTCGACCGAATTGGGATTAGGAATGATGGTCACATATAGTCACTATTTTATAATGTTGTTATCATTGATATCAAGTGATTAACATTAGTTTTAAGTATTTAGTAATAATTTATAATAAAGTTTCAGATTATATTATAATCATAAAAAAATGTGCAATTAATTTATGCCCCCTCCCCAAAAAAAACGTATCACAGTTGCGCCACTGGATCCAGCTCCAATTTCAACTTAGCCACTCTTTTTATTTTTCATGTGACATCCATTTAGTGTAAAAGTATTTAAATTTTTTTATTTTAATGAGTAGCTTAAGGATTGGCGGGATATTTTTATACATATTTTACATTTAACGTCAAATCTGTAAGGTTATATAATTCATTATAAATCCATAAGATGCACGTATATACATTTTAAGAAATCGTTTAATCAAATAATAATTACTTTTTAAAATCTTTTCTACTTTTAAGAATTCTTAATCAACTAAACCTTTGTAATAATTTCAAACAATTAAACAAATTATTATAATAATGATATTGATGAAATAAAACAAACTTAATTTTATTTTAAATTGATTTTTCTTGCTTTTAGCGAAACAAAGCTCTGTATAAGTTTATCCATGTCTGTTTCTTTAGCGATTTCGCTTTCGGTAGAAAAATTGACTTATCCGTTATTGAAATATATTTCATCGCGAATAATTTTTTAATATTTTTTTAAGTTTTGTGAAACTCCTCTTGATTGTTGCAGAAGTTACAGGTTATGTCGATTCTTAATATCACATAAGTATTGGGGTCTTGTTCTATCAAATTATTTCTATATATATATATGTATACTCAAGAACTGATTTCGGATACCGATAGAAATAAAAAAATATATGAGTCAATTTTGAAAATGCGGCCCCTACTAAAATGCTGCTAGACAGGTACATATCTATACCTTGAGCCGGCTTTGCTAGTGCTACGAGAACTGTCAAGACGATAACGGTACGCTGCGGTTTCGGGTGGACGTTTATTTTTTCGTGGCGTGCCCGACGATTCTGGTCAATGGTTTTGTGAAACTGATGTTCCAACTTGGGTACGAATCCCTTAACGATTATCATAGCTCATCAAAGTAACCATAGACACACAGTAATCAACATAATAATTATTAACGATTATCGATTAGCATGTCATCAGAGGCGCACACACGGCCCGTTAGGTATTGGATATGGATGAAGTATGCTGTACAGCTGTGAAATTAATTGAATTTGATTTCATCAAAAACCATATTTATTTTGCGACACATTATGTGTTGATAACGTAACATGTGAAATCGTATTTCACCGTATACTGTTTGTTGACACAACTCCTCTGAAAAAAATCAGTGACCCTCAGTGCTTAAGATGAAAATACGAAAACAATTAATTCGGGTACAGCAGCACCTTCAATTATTTTTATTTGTATTGAGATTGCATCGCGATAGCAACAACTGTGTTTCCACACCTACGCCGTAATCTAGAAGTGTGAAAACTCGACTCCTTTCTTATTGCGAGTTTACAAGCGTTGTTATTGGCCATGTTGGCGAAACGAAAAATAAAATAGTTTGCGTTTTTTTCAGGAAACACTCCACGAGTTAGCGAAATTGCAATTCGTGTAACCTTGTGGCCATCGGTTGAAAATTAAACACCATTTAAGTTAAATTAGTCGAGAAATCCTTCAAGGAACTGTAAAATGTATATTTATCTGTGACATTTACCTTTAACAAAATCTTGATTATTTTCGAATAATTTAGACTCCATCTAAGTAACTTTTTGATATTATTGATCTACCTTAAGTTTCAACTGAAAATAAAATTTGACGTCATAATACTATAACTCTACATTATACCCTACACCAACGCGAACAAAATGAATCGCCAAAACCTCCGTAGTACTTGTATCTGATTACGTTTTCTAAATTCAAAATGCATTTCAATCGTTCGACGTGATAAATACCTATTAAAAATTACACCAATGATAAACGAGTGCGTGTTGTATTGTTCAATCTATTCAATTTATATTATTCAAGTCGTTTATAATTAAATAATAAATGCACGTCTGCACGATTGAAATTAAAACCTTAAACTGTATCGTTTTCTCTAATAATAACCTAAACGAGATTGCGGTTAGCTCGAAACGAAACGAGTATCAACATGTTACGGTTGCATTGTCTGTAAGTATTACATGTCAAACTTACGAGAAATAACACAAGGTTCATTATAATTATGCTATTTTTGTCTTGGAGTGTTTTATGTTGCGAAAACGTACAGCTGCATTCCTGCTACGGTTGGTATCTATCGAGTTGCATGGTATAAAAACATTTTAAATATTCAATTAATTTCTCATCATAGAACAATGGTAATTATGATAATACACAATAATCTAATGTGATAATGTATGCATGTTCGCTCATTATTATAATACATATCATGTAATCTGCATTTGTGCAAGTGTATCAATATTTTCCGTTGAAATTCTTTTACGGTGTTTCTACAACACTTGGTACACCGATTTAATGAAAATAATTTGTTACTTTATCAGTTATTCGGTACAGTTCGTGTTATATAACGTAGTTAGTACCTTGCTCAGAAATAATCAGAGTGGAAAAAAAACACCAAATAGGAATTGTATTTAACGTAGATTTTCGTCAAGTTCGACAAACACTTGAGTACGACGTGTTCTATACTGTACACAACCGAGTGTTTTATTTAAATAAAAATCACTCTTTTATGGATCATTCGTATGTATAAGCCACGCTACGCGTAACGAAAACACCGATGGATTTCGATGAACTGAAATAAAAATAATAACATGCTTCATAAACGCGCATGTCAATCGTGTGTATTAATTTAAATACTATTAAGTGCAGTGCCCTGCATCTTGTTATGAATTGAAAAAAAATAAATATATTAAACGTTAGATTTGTCCGATTAAATAGAAGAGACGGAGAGAGAACTAATTGAATTCACGAAACGTATGTTATTACCAAGTAATTGATGATGTTCATTAATAGTAAACGGTTAAATGTATTGATCATTTTATATGATCTGCTCTACGAACAAATACATATCAAATCATATTGTATTATATACATCTAATACTTCTGTACGTGCCTTATTTACTGTAAATTTATTGCAAGTATTATACAGTTTCATGAAGTTTATGTAACGATATTATGTGGATTAGAATAATAATATAAGTCTTCTGGTACAATTAAATTGGAAAGTTAACGAAGATTGTTATTCGATAACATTTATCGATTATATTTTTTATATACGCATTCTGAACTCCCATATAGGCTATTGCTGTAGGTATCATAATAAAAGACAGTATAATATTCTTACGGTACGCTGTTCATTGAGTTTACCCAATGTGGAAGTTATCTTTATGTATTTTACTATTGAATTTGCGTCACATAACTGCATAAATTACGTTGAACTAAATGTTAAAAAATTTATATATTTGGTTGAAGTGTTATTTTTTTTTTAAATTTTTATTAATTATTAATAAATTTAAATTTAAATTAATCTTGGAAATTACGAATACATATTAATACGCATTATAATTATTATAATAGTAAATAATTAAAATAAAATACGAGAAAAGCAAGATTACAATAATTTAATGATATAATTAAAACAATGTAGTGAGATAATTATGGAGCGTTAAATTAATAATTATATATGGACGAGAATAAAGTAAAAGTGTACTTAATATTGAGATAGAATCGGAGGGAAACTTGAGTTTTGATATTTTAAGGAGTATTTGATTGATCCATAGGCGTGGACAGACCTGTATTTTAGGGGATGTCTACCATACTTTTGAGCCCTATCTTAACAAAACGTGTAGGTATATTTAGTAAATTATAACGTATGAATAATTAAATAAACATAACTTTAATTTTTTATTTAATATTGAGGTAAGTCGTTTTTAGTTGAAATATATCAAGCTGTTAGAGTTGATAATACTTTGAGTAATTCTTTACCAATTAACTATGGAGTTCCACAAGGTACAGTGTTAGGACCTCTATTTTTTATAATTTATACAAATGGTTTATTGAGCTTAAATTTAAATGCTAAAATAATAAGTTTTGCTGATGATACCTTAATTTTAGTCAGTGGTGCCTCAAATAATATAGTTAATATATTAGCTACATTCGTACTAGAAACTATTAATAACTGGTTCGTAAATAATTTACTCGAACTCAATATTAAAAAATCAAAGTATATGTTTTTTAAATTTATAAAAATAAAAGTTTAATATACTATCCATTAGTGTTACACAATTCAAATTGTAATAGGTCCTTAGATTCTTGTAAATGTGATAAGCTTGAACATGTTGAATCAATTAAATACCTTGGGGTGATTTTTGATAGAAATTTAAGGTGGAATTTGCATATTAATCATGTAGTTAGTACTATACGAAAATTGTTTTATAAATTTAAATTG